CTGGCAATGCTCGGGGGACCATATGGGATGCTGGGGATTGAACCTGGGTTGGCCTCGTGCAAGGCAAACGCCCTACCTGCTGTGCTATCACTCCAGCCTGACATTCATTCTTTAATAAGGTCAGTGTAAATGCTCATGAGCATCTGGGAAAGCGGACACTCTCGACTCTTGGTCACCGTCGAAATGGGTGGTGGGTGGCGGACATCTCCAGGATGGCTTAGCTGAGTTCTGGCCACAGGTCTGGGCACAAGATGTGCTGGGAGACAGGATTTATTCACAACTAGAAGGCCAAGGATGCTCTAGGTTACCCAAGTCCTTGATGTCTGTTTTTACCCAGGCACACGTCCTTAGGCTGGTTAGGGAGAATGAGACAGACCCATTTCGGTTCTCGGTCTCCTATTGACCCATTGGGCTTGTCAGTCATAGCTGATTGACTGCCAGCCCTGGGACGGACTCCGTTGCAGGGAAATGGCCCCACATTAAAAACCTACCAGAACCCGCTCTCTCTTGCCCTTCTGAGCTCTGCAAAAGCACAGTCCAGGGCCTCTTCCAGGGCCCTCATGTCTGAAGGGCCAGTGACAGCTGTGGCTTGGAATTCCTTGCTCAGCCGAGACTGTGACATTTGCCCCTGGACTCGGAAACGCAGCTGTCCAAGAGCTGAGGGCTTCCTCCTGTTCCTACCTAGAGTCGGTGGCCGCCAGTGGCTTAGCTTTAAGGGACCCACCTTCTGTAATCAGTAAGCTTATCTGCAGGAGCAGAAAATATTTAGCATTTCCAGAGTAACTTTTTGTTTGGCCTCTCCCTCTAATTTCTCTGTCGTAGAGATCTAATTTAGATAGAAACTTGGTGTGTTTTTAAAAATAGAATAATTGGTTTCCTTCAGAAATCAAATAAACAACTTGTCACAACCTGTAAAAAGTGCAGATTTCAACACCGCATTTTCCTTTCTCCCGAGATTATGTGCTTTCTAAAGTCCTTTGAGCCCCTGAAAATGAGAGAGTCTGCTCTCTTCATTCCTACCAAATTATACGAATTTCATCAGGGCAAGAGTTTGCAGAAAGGCCTATCGAAAGCTGACAAATTTTAAGTTCTTAACCAAATTTTTACCAAGACAACAGTGGTCCCAAACACGCTCACTTGTTAAATATTGTTTAGGCATTTCAGCTGCTGGGTGTGTGGCTTAGAATATACCAGGAAAGCAGAGAAGTTTGTTTGTCTTTGTTTGGGGCCACCCCAGCCATGCTCAGGGTTATTCCAGGTTATACCCAGGAATCACTCCTGGGGGTGGGGGGACCATTTTGGATGGAGTGTGTGTGTGGGGGGGGAGCGATTAAACCTGGGTTGGCCGAGTGCAAGGCGAGTGCCCTCCCTGCTGTACTATCCTTACGGTCCCAACATGAATCTTGAAGCCTCAGGAATGTTCTGGAAGGAGGCTTTTTCTCACAGGTAGGAAGCCAGAGGAGTGTGTTCAAATGAGGGAAGGCGCCGCCCGTGGTACTCTGGAAGCCTGGGGCGCTAGGTGAGGGGTGCGAGTTGAACCCCCAGGGCTGGCTATAGACTCCCTCTGGCGCTCAGAGGATCTGGTGTGGGGGTGGGGGTGGCGCCGGGCGGGTAGTGCAGCAGCATGGGAGGCGAGGGGCCCTTGGTGGGCACGAGGGCCGCCAGTGACGGGAGGGCTGCATGGGGACTCAGGCCCGACCGTGCTGTGCCCCTAGGGGGGTGGGCGGGCTCCTTGTGGGGGAGGGGCCATGCCGGGCACCTCCCTCCTGGAGCACGCACCCACCTCAGCTCCATGTGCGCTGCCGTGGCCCAGGCCTGTCTGCCCCTCCACGAAGCAGAGCAGGGCACACAGACAGGAGAGCCGCGGGCACACGCAGCCCCTCGAGGGGTCGTTGCGTGGCCCCAGACCCCCACAGCCCCACTGCCTTCAGGACCGCACTCTGGGACCCAACTCCGACGTGCCTGTGCCAGTCTCGTTCTTTGAACTGGCGCTTTGCCCAGCAGGACAAACCGCAAAGGGCTGCTGAGGACGGGGCAGGGTGGGGCCCGGAGGCCTGCGTGTCCCTCTGTTCGAGGGCGACACCGGGCAGGTCTGTGCTTCTCCCACAGCCTGGCCGCTGGTCCTCAGGGCTGTTGCTGTCCGCCCCACTTTGCTCCTAGGCAATCACTTCCTTGGGCTGCCTGGAGACTCTATATAGGCCCTGGGTTTGGGGTGGGATTTTTTTTATTGTTTTTTTTTGCTTCAGCCTCCCTCCCTGCACCCCTCCGCCCCCGCCCCTGCCCCCCCCAACTCCTGCTCTCTCCCCTTCACCCTTACTTTGTTGAGTAATTAGCTGAAAGTGCCCAGACTCTTCATTCATGAGTTTCTGCTTCTGATGTTTTTAATTAGCTTTCCTGGAACAGGGGAAGTGTCTTCAAGTGATTTCTATTTATTGCAGGAACAATAACAATTTATGTTAATCTCCCATCCCCTCCGAAGGCTGCTTTGCTTGGAGAGCATAAAGGAGGCCAGTGCCTGCTGTCCGGCTGGCTGCCCAGCAGGAGGGGGCGCGGCCCAACCCCGCCGGGGAGGATGGAGGCGATGGGGAACTGTTTTCTGTCCGTCTTCCCCCTTCAACTGGAGGGAAATGGAGGTGACAGCACCTTCTTGCATGGTTCTCGGGGTCGTGGAGGGACAAGGCTTCTGGCCTGTGGCCACAGCACCAGTTTCTTTCTATGGAGGCAAGGAGGAAGAGGAGAAGGAGGAGGGGGAGGAGGAGAGGGGAAGAAGGAGGAGGAGGGGGAAGAGGAGGAGGAGGAATAAGGGGAGAAGGAGGAGGAGGAGGAGGAGGAATGTTTCATTTCTCTCTGTCTCTCTTTCTCTGTCTCTCTTTCTCTCTTTCTTTCTCTCTCTCTCTCTCTCTCTTTCTCTTTCTTTCTTTCTTTCTTTCTTTCTTTCTTTCTTTCTTTCTTTCTTTCTTTCTTCGCCACACCCAGCATACTGAGGGGTTACTCCTGGCTCTGCACTCAGGAATCACCCCTGGCGGTGCTCAGGGGACCATATGGGATGCCGGGGACCAAACCTGGTTCAGCCATGTGCAAGGCCAGTGCCTTACCAGCTGTTGTCAGCTCTGTTTCATCTAAAAACAAATCAATGGAAGAATAACTAGATCGCGTTCCAGCAACTGAGCAGGCGGCAGCGTCTTTACCCATCACTGTCGGGCTTGCTCTGCCCTGGGGGGAATCTTCCCATCCCCAACAGAAGTTGTAGTCTGTCGCTTGGAGCAGCGCTTAGGGACTCTTGGACCGAGGGCGAGGGGGTCGTCTCCTCCCCAGTCTGTCCCCGAGACAACGGTGAGGGCCAGGGCCAGCTCCAGGGCCAGAAGTGCCTACACGTGTCACCTGGCTTTCAGAGGAAGCCTCTGGGCTGGCCCGGCTTTGTCTCCCACTGGTTCCGGTCCCCCTTCTCCCTGCCACACCAAGCTTGGTGCCCAGGGGACCACGAGGTGCTGGGGAGAAACTCGGTCCTCCTCCGAGCGCACGCGGCCCAGCGCTGAGCCTTCTCCCCACCCTGTTCTGTCACGGGTGTTGGGTGGGTGTCTGTTTTGCATGTTCTGGCTGGTTCTAGAAGATTCCTGTCTGTCTGTGTGAGGCCCACAGCACCAAGAGGGGAGAGTCCTGTTGGTCAGTCCAGTGTGGACTTGGGCAGAAGAGCCTCCTTCTGACACTTGCGACTATTTCTGTGGGGGGACTGTCCCGCCCTCAGCTGAGACACTGAGATGGGGACACAGAAGCTGGGCTGTGTCTCACTCTCAGGTTGATGCTCCTGAGCACTGTCGGGGAGCCTTGTGGGTTCCAGATAGTGGGGAATTCCTCTCATTGGGCAGGAGTCTGTGAGGGGCCAGGCAGGGAGAGATGGCTCCACTCCTGACCGCAGCATCTCTGGGCACTCCAGAGCACAGCCCCGGCAGCCGCAAGGGAGAGGCGACCCACAAGCCACGGGCAGGGAAGGTTCTGTGGGTCTTGGTCTCTGGGGTCTGCAGCGCTGAGAGCTGGGACGGTGGAGCAGCTGAGCCCCAGTCGTGCCAGGCTGACCACACGGAGGGCAACGCACAGGGTGCCAAGGGCCTGGCGCTGGGGGCCTGGTGCCCTGCCCTGGTGAAACGGACTTCCTGTCTTCAGGCAGGAAACCTTATCAGCCCTGCGGTGTATGTGTGTGTGTATGTGTGTGTGTGTATGTGAGTATACGTCTGTGAGTGTGCGTGCACATGTGTATGAGTATGTGAGTGTGTGAGCATATGTGTGTGAGTATGCATGTGTGTGTGCACATCTGTGTGAGTGTATGTGTATGTGTATGTATGTGAGTGTATATGTGAGTATGTAAGTGTGTGTGTCTGTGAGCATGTGTGTGCATGTGTATGTGATTGTGTTTGTGTGAGTCTGAGTGTGTATATGTGCGTGTGTGAGTTTGTGTGTGAATGTGTGAATGTGTGCGTATATGTGTGAGTGTGTATGTGAACTCTTTCGCCCCTACCAACCAATCAGCCCTGGGCCAACACTACATGGCATTCCCGCTTACTCTGTAATCACATCCTCACTATCTTCGACAACTAATTATCTGTGTGCCAGGTGCTCTGGAATTCTCTGGGGACAAACGGGCCTGTGCGGATCCCGTTGGCCTCTGGGTGCGTCTCTCTCATCCCCTAGGGTGGAGCAGCATCGTTCTGGAAGGCCTTTCCCAGGAGCATACCTGGGGTCCCCTGCCCTGGAGCTGTCTACAGCGCGCCCCCCCCCCCCTTGAGTCATCCACCTTCCTCTGCAGGAAGGCTGGCCTGCATTTGCATGTTTGGTGCCCGTGTACACACGTGCACATGGATGTGCACACATTTCTTTGAACGCGAGGGTGAGAGCTGGAGTCAAAGGTCACAGCAATGCGGCCTGTCACCAGGATAGTGTGGGAGCCACCCCGGGTGCACCGCCACCCTCAGATCTGACCCGCCTCTCTCTCCCTTCGTTTCCAGGGGGGCGTTTTCCGAAGTGGTCTTGGCTGAAGAGAAGGCGACGGGAAAGCTGTTTGCCGTGAAGTGCATCCCCAAGAAGGCGCTGAAAGGCAAGGAAAGCAGCATAGAGAACGAGATCGCAGTGCTGAGGAAGTAAGTGCCTGGGTGCCACTGCGGGGAGGGCCGGCTGCTCGGGCGGGCGTCGCCGTCCCGCGCCCTCAGGGTCACGCGGGGTCGTTTTCATGACCAGGTATGGCATGGCCCAAGCCCTTCCCCAGACCAGGCCCCTCCTAGCCTCAGTGGGGACCTGCTTTAGGCAGAGCTCGGCCATGGGTGGGCCCTGGCCGTGGTCTGCTGCTCCCTCTCTGGGTCAGCGACTGGGCTCAGCCCCCTGGCGTTACTAATGGTCCTGGCACAGGGTCTGCACAATGCCCTGGTGCTTACCTGGTGTTTGCAAACTGCCGTTAGTGGCCAGAAGCTGCTGGTGGCGTGGATGCTTTTACTCTCTGGGGGCTGCTGTGCCTCTTTTCATTCATTCACTTACTTATTGGTCCTTGGGCCACACCTGGCAGTGCTCAGGGCTCACCCCTGGCTCTACTCTCCGGGATCACTCTTGGCGGTGCTCAGGGGACCATCTTGGATTCTGGGGATTGAACCCAGATCAACCTCTTTCAAGGCAGACGTCCTGCCTGCTGTACTGTCGCTCTGGCCCTGTTTGTGGCTCTTGAAGTGGGGCAGTCGGACCCCTCAGTGAGGAGCTCATACACAAGGGAGCTGTGGGGGGCTCCTTGGGGGTGAGGGGAGGGGCAGCACATATTGGAGGGGCTGCCAGCCTCAGCCCGAGCTGTGTCCCCATCCCCATGCTTCTTGGAGCTTGTTCTTCAGAACGTTCTCTCCCCAGAGTCTTGGTGTGTGTGGGGGTTCCCCTGAGTACCTCTGAACCCCTGTCCAGGGCACACACACACACTCTGAGGGGGCCGGGCCCGCATCCCCAAGATTCTGTCTTTCACACCTGGCCCAGCCTGGCCCCCACACTCTATGACCCAGTCGCTTCCCTGCTCTCACAAGGTTTGGGAGCAGAGCCGTGAACAGCCTGGGAAAGGGCTTTGAGGGGCCCCTGAGCACGGAGGGGGCTAGGGCGAGGAGGGGGCTAGGGTGAGGCACAGGGCAGGGAGCCCTGGCCGGGAAGTGGGCGGAAACCCAGCCCCTCCCCACATTGCTCTCGGGGCTCCCAGCCTCATACCCCCAGCCCCCATCCCAACTACCCCCCTCCCCCACTGGCCAAATCTAGCACCAAGGTGTCCTGGAGGGTCACGGTCTCCGACCCCCGCTTGAACAGTGGGGGGGTATTCCAGAAGGGTCTGGGCCTTTTGCTGGAACGTCTGGGCTGGGGCCTTTGCTTGGTTCCCAGGTTCTCTGCTGGTCTGGGGGGTTGGGGGGGGGAGGACTGTACAGAATCATCCCGCAGAGGGCTGCAGGAGGATGAGTCTCAGTTGTCCATTAGCGTCTAGCTGGAAGCAGCTCCATTAACGAAGCGTGGAGCAAAGCACAGAGCGGAGCAGCCCGTTTTCCGCCAGGAAGCTGGCTGCAGGGGGAGGGGCTGCTCTGGTTCTGAGTCAAAGCTTCCCGGTGACTATTGGCCATTTCAGATGGAATTCTGGGTGGGCCCAGAACCTTCTGGAGGTTCTGCTCTGAGAGCCAGGGCTGGCCCACTTGTCTGGCTGTATCCTCCCCATCGCTTGGGCACTGCAGAGCAGGGAGATGTTTGTGTCCTTCCGTGGCTAGGAGGAAATCAGGGCCCGTTCTCAGCAGTTCCGAGCAGGGCCCGGGACGCTCTGCTGGTTCGGCTCTGCAGGATGGGGGGTCCTCAGCATTGCAGGGGGAGTTGAGGGCGAGCCGGTCCCGTGCAGGACGGCCGTGCCCTCAGCACTGAGCGCGCTCCCAGCCCCTGTGCTCCAGGAGCTTCTTTTCTCTCCACCTGGCTTGGGCTGGGGAATAGGGGGGTGTGTGGGGGGGGGTAGGGGAGGTGGAGGCAGCCACCAGGGGCTGATCTTGGTTTCCGCCCTGCTGGCTTGTGAGAGCCTGATCCGCGCCCCCCCGGGGACAAAAGGACAGAGAGATGATTGGGAAGGCCCTCATTGGTTTGTTGGTCCCCTGCACGTGGGAAGAGAAGCAGTTCGGCTCTGCAAAGCAGCAGGAAGAAAGCCTCTGAGTGGTGCTGGGGGTCTAGAAGGACGGAGGGGGGTCTGGAAGGACAGAGCTGGGGGAGCTGCCTTCAAAACTGTTTGTGGAACTGGCGGTTGTTGATTTTTTTTTCCCCTTTCAGAAAAGTAAGCCATGGGCCGGAGCGATAGTATAGCGGGAAGGGTGTGTGTGCCTTGCACACAGTCGACCTGGGTTCGATTCTGAGCATCCCATATCATCCCCCAAGCACCGCCAAGAGTAATTCCTGAGTGCAGAGCCAAAAAGCAAAACACAAAAAAAGAAAGGAAGAAAAGTGAGCCACACGAATGCCTCTACTAGTGAACGTGCAGGAGGGTGAAGCCTCTAACAGTGTCCAGCCAGAGTCCTGCTCCCTCTCTCTGAATTCCATATCCAGTAAAACAGAGAGAATGCCCGTCCATGCTGCAAACTGACCAGCGGACACAACGGAGTGAATTCATTATCAGAGGGTCAGTGTTGTAGGCTATATTGAGACACGCCCCTCCCACCTCCACCCCTCAGCCTTCTCTTCTCTAATAACTGTACTTAGGGTGGCATGCTCGCAGTCGTGTTAAGGTCCATGGTGTTGGTGCGGTTACTGGACCTCACATCGCAAGCGCCAGCACTGTCCTCCCCTGGGCCCCATGGTCTCCCTGCTCCCTCTCCTGTGGGACTCGTGGTCTCCATGCTCCCCACTGGCATCTGCTGGCACCGGTGAGCCCTGAGGTGGACAGAGGAAGAGGCAGCTGGTGCTCTTGGGAGACCAGAGCATGTTTGAATGCGTGTGGCTGGGAGCAGTCTCTGTAGAGCCCTCCCCAGACCCAGGGACAGCTGCCCGCTTCCTCCCCTGGGTGGGCAGGGCAGGAAGGACCCGGAGAGGCAGGGCCCTGGCAAGGCGAGGGCGGAAGCCCGTAATACTTGACCTTTCTCTTCCTCCTTTCTTTTTCTTTCTTTCTTTCTCTCTCTCATCTCTCTCTCTCTCTCTCTCTCTCTCTCTCTCTCTCTCTCTCTCTCTCTCTCTCTCTCTCTTCCATTTGGCCCTTACCTGGTGCTGCTCAGGGCTTCAGGGCTTACTCCTGGCTCTGCACTCAGGGATCACTCCACCTCTTCAGGGATTGTTTTTTCTTATTTATGTATTGATTTATTTATTCATCTGTTTATTTGCGGGGGGGATCTCCTGGCAGTGCTGGGGGCAGGGATGTGGGGAGATGCTTCTCTTGGCTCTGTGTGTCTGGGGGTTGTGTCCAGCAATGCTTATAGCATTATGTGGTGCCAAGGGTCTGACCGGGTACCTGCATGCAAAGCCTGTGCTGGGCCTGGTTAGTTATCTGTCTGAATTAGAATCTGTATTGCGTTGTTGAATGCATTTACTTATTTTAATCTGGGGACCCACCCATGAGACCTCAGGCTCCACCTGCTGTGGCTGACCAGCTCTGGCCCCCAGCTGAGCTCTGGCTGAAGACTGCCCTGTCGCTTGCTCGGCCCCTGTTGCTGTGTGGCCGGAGAAACAATAGAAACATAGCTGTTCAGGTGAATAGAATCGCTCTCCTGGTGATGGTAAAAAAGCTGGTGCTTGAGTCCCCCCAGTGGGACAGATTTTCCAGACCCCAGCTGGTCATCGGGGAAGTAATATCTTAACCCGGGCAGGTTCCTTCTCTCCAACGGTCCCCTGGACATGAGAACATGGCCAGAGTAAAGAATAATATTTCTAAGCTTACGGTAGTAGGAAACAGCTTTATCTTGGGTCACGCCAGCCCTCTGGGCTCTTCCAGAAAACCAGCATTGGGCACTCCTTTGAATTTTGAGACAGTAAACCCCAAACAACAAGCAAACAACTGTGCAGTTGCCATAAAGCATAGTCGAGTTCCGTGGTGACAATGCTGGTAGTGTGTGTGTGTGTGTGTGTGTGTGTGTGTGTGTGTGTGTGTGTGTGTGATCAAACCCACATTCTGTTGTAGGTGGAGCTGACCTGAGGGGGCCGTGCCTGCAGGGTCCCTCAGGCCACCCCACAGACCTGGCCAAGACCAGACTTTCTGCGTGCCCCCCCTAGACAGGAGGTTCGAAGGAGGTCTGTCTTTTCTGGGTGACTACCCTCTCTTTGCTCTCCACCCCCAATCCCCGTCCTAGCTGTCCTAGTCACCTGCAGACCTGGCATGCCTCAGTTGTGCTTCAAATTCCTCTGGTGACATATTTTGTCAAATGTTTCCCCTCTTCCTCTGTAAATGTACGTAACTAATGATTGATAGAAACTCTGCTTAAATCATTCTACAGAAGTATGTGTGTGTGTGTGTGTGAGAGAGAGAGAGAGAGAAAGAGAGAGAGAGAGAGAGAGAGAGAGAGAGAGAGAGAGAGAGAGAGAGGGAGGGAGAGGGAGAGATAGGGAGAGAGAGAGGGAGATTGCTGATACTCCTAAAAAGCAGACAAGCTTTGGGCTTTGTTCTGTGATGCACAGGACTTCCTCCTGGTTCTCATTCAGGGATTACTCCTGGCGTTGCTCAGGGATGCTGAGGATGGATTAGCCGTCTGCAGGGCAGCCCTACCCACTCTACTATCCCTCCCTCTGGTCCCCCAGACCAGCTTTTATATCAGAGGATCACAGCGCCCAGAGGATTAAGTGTCAAGAGGCCTGAGCGGGCATGAAGGGCAACCAGAGAAAGACAGTTTATCCACCAGTGTCGACTCTCTCTGCTTAAACTTGCATTGGATTGACTCTTTTTTTTTTTTAATAATGTTTGGACATTTATTTATATGGTAGATAGATTCATTTTTAGGAGGATTTTACTTAGGACGGGCTGGAGCGATAGCACAGCAGTAAGGTGTTTGCCTTGCGCGCAGCCAGCCTGGCCGAGCCAGGTTTGATTCCTCCATCCCTCATGGAGAGCCCGGCAAACTACCGAGAGTATCTTGCCCGCACGGCAAAGCCTGGCAAGCTACCCATGACGTATTCAACA